ATTTAATCTTGTCATCCATCTCTCGTTTATTTTACATTTAGTGGGTAGCAGTTGCTGCCTACTCTACGACCGAGCATCAGAGATCGTAAATAACTGAACTGTGTCCGGGGAAGGAGGTGAGTTCAAATTTCACCTCCTGAACACCGTCCAGTTTGCACTATTTAACCACCCCCAACGATTAAAGTTTGAGCTCAAAATTTAAGTTTAAGTCTAAGCTTTTGAAAGCAAATTAATGCGATACAAAAAATAACAGTAAAAATATTTGTTCGTTTCTCCAAAGTCTAAAGCACCCTCTACCGACATGTTTTGAGCTTTATCTTTTAAATTTATTTTTCAAGAAAACACTGACAAAAAGAATAATTTCAGCGAAAACTGCTAACGAATCTATTCATTTTTCCGTTTTTTGTATTCGTTTGAAATTTCGGACCCTAAACTTTAAGGGAACCTATCTCCTTCGGAAGATGTTTGGTACCCTAAATTTCCTATTCACTATTGTTATTGACTATTGTGTACTATCACCCCTTAAAGTTTTGTCGCAGAGTTTAGTTACACCCTGTATATAAAAATAAAGTCTCCATGAAGCTGAGCTTGAGAGATGCTCTATTATCTCCTCTCCCATGTAGGTTTATTCAGTATCTTTCGTGAAGGTAGTCTGGCTGTTGGGCTACTAACAAATTTAGAGGTTCGAGCTGTCGTTTTGCTAATTTATCTTACACAACTCCATAAAGTAGCCCGAGAGGGTATTTAAGGAAAAACAGCGAGAAAGCACGTTGTAATTTCTTTTAAGGGGACATGGTACAATATACGCAAAAATTTTTAATTTAAGGATTTCCGAAATTTTTGGGTGGACCTTCTATGTGTGTATACTACACGAAACAGATTTTCGCTCAAAATTTCATAAAAAGCTAGCCATTTAATTTTTTAAGGCATAAACTTAAAATTTGTAAAGTGATTTTAAAATGCTACTCCTCCTACAAAACTTTACGTTCACGCATGGAATTTGATTTACAAATACGTCAAACAGTATAGCAAAAGTTGGTGTGGGTTTTGCGATAACATGATAGTTATTCGTATAATACTTTTTTTATCAATGCTTATTGAAAAATCCTTAGCAAATGTATAAATTCGGAGTTGAATTATTTTTTTAAAAAGTTGGCTGGGTGGCGTGGTTGGTTTGTCAATGGCTTTCTGTACCGAAGGTTGCGGGTTCGACTACGGCCCAAGTCGATGGATTTCCATAATGCAGAAAATGGAGAGTGGCCATGTCATATGATAATACGGCATGTAAAAGATCCCTAGGGGGTCCTAGGCAAATGTAAATCCTAGTACAAGGTCCGCATCGTCAGAGCTCCAGTGCCTCCCTCTAGAGAGGAAACTGGGCGTACAAAATACCTGCAGTGATTGGTATCCACCAATATATGGCACCACACTAAAGAAGAGCTTTCGATGAATGTACTAGGTGGATGGATGAACTCTGTTCATAATCTGCATCTGTCGGTATGCATTTTTTAATCGAAGCAATACTTATTTTTCAGAAATAAAAATTATTTTTAAAATATAAGTATTGCTGTGATTCAAAAATGCATACCAACTTCCGTCACATGTACTATTAGCAATAGTTAAAAAAATTCAAAGCATTAGGCACAATAGAAAAAAGCCTTAGAATTTAAATGAAGACACTAGTTATTTTATCTTTTTGAGATAAGCAGGTTTAAAGTTTTGATTTACCATAGGGATGAGAATAAAAACGAATGTAAAAGCTATCATAAGTTTGCATTTTTTAAAGTTTAGAGCTTTTTCAAATTTTGTGATGTCATAGAAAAGTTCATAAAGAATAATTTAGACTAAAAAAATTACTCTTAATTTTTGACCGATTTTCGTCAGTTGAATCGTACTGTGTTTTCTTAATATTACTGAACAGAAAACATAGTCGTTTTTGGTATCTTCGGTGCATTCATTTCATATTCATTATGGATATCAACTAGTGAAAACATTAATTATTTATTTGATCTGCACGTAAAGACAAAGTCTGATTGCATTTTTACAGTATTTTAATTTTTGTTATTTTTTATGGCTAAATATAAATCATGTTTTCATGCAACCGTTCGCAATCAGACTTTGCACTGTTGACGCTACATTGCCTGGAATGGAATTCTTAGGAAGGCCGAGGTTCACCATAGGCGGAAGAAAATGTTATAGTTTTCAGAATATTTTATTCCATTAGATTTAGGTTATTGAGGCGTTCATAAAATTTCTGCATATTTATACGTGGAATAAGAAACTATCAATGCACATTTTTACCGGGCGAAAAATTAGAATTAATTTTCTTTGTAATTTTAACATACATTCTTCTATTTCATTAATCATGTCATTTAAATATTAGTGGTTTAATGTAAAATGTTTGAATGTAGAACTCAAAAATGCGTTTTGTAAAAGAGCAACATGTAAGTTTTTTTCTGTCAATAGTTATTGCATTTTATTCACATTATTAGTTCGTTTTTAACGTTAATATAATGAAGTTAAAATAAATAAAAATAACTACAGAATCAGTACATCGAAAAGACGGATTAGTTATAAGTATTTTTGCCTCAATGAAGACATCTTCTTTCGGTTTATAAAATAACATTTTAATAGCATAAATAAAGAAATAAATTATCAAGGTGAAATTTCACAAGGCATAACTTAAATTTCTTTTTCATTTATATTTTAAAAGATAACGTGCGAATTGATGAGATTTCAATCAATTGCGATAATAATGTCTTGATATATTTATTATTATTATTGCATTTCGTTGGAAAGAGTGACTGTTCGTAATGTATTTTGTAATTGTGTACCTCGGTCATATGACGAGGACGAAACTTCAGCTGGCATCCCACTCTCCAAACTTCCACACTTCGCCAAAATGCAGGTTTTGAAACTCGATAATATTAGCATATGTACAATTCCTACACACTCTGGTTTCTTAGAGGTATTAAGTATTGAATTCATGACTCAAAGAGCTTCAACCATGTGTGTGCGTCACTAACTTCTTAGCAACTACGGCCTCCCATGTGAAATGGAGGAATTAGATGTTTTATCATTCATATGAGTCAGTAATTTTGAAGTGTCCATCGAAATATTTGTTTTAGATGAAATACATTTGATCAAACGTTCCTTTGAGCAACAAATATGCCACTTTCTAAGCTAAACAAACCCAGTGTGTTGGTTTCAAATAGAATGTCACTCACTTTGTGAAAAACAATGTAAGTCGTGCTGGAGTAAAGATGTTTGACATTGGGGAAAGTTTCATACGTGAGAATAAGTGAAAAATTAAACCAAAATCAATATTCCAAAAATTAAATGTGATTTGTATTGAGGATTAACACAATAGCGTTCCTTAACCCTTTATCTAAAGTATTATGATTTACTACAATTTTTTTCATGCAATATTTTTTTTGAATCTCTATATTGAAAAAATTAAGGGATATATACATAAACAAAATATTCAACTTTGGTGAATTTAATTAGTTGGAGCTAATTAATTAATTAAAGACATTCAACTGTAAAAATGATTATACACATTGTTCACTTAAAATAAAGTCAAATTGTTTTCTAAGGTCTTCATTAACAAACGAAAAATAAGACACTTGCCTTTTGACATTAACTATTTTTTTGGAATAAAAATGACATATTTGCAATACGCTGAAAACGCAATTTCTGCTATAAAATTATTCGCCTTTCCCGCTAAAATACTCATCATAGAACCTGTGCTGTCACATATATCTTGTAAGAGTGAATTTAAAAGAATAGTGCAGCTGAGTATCGTCAGAGTATTCGTAAAAATGTTTATTATATGCATTTTAGTGAGTGGTACCTATAAGTACCATCTGTAGATAAAGAGTAAATGAAAAGTCCTAAAATATCCCAAAATAAATTAATTTAAACAAGAAACAAAGTGTTCATATATTTACATTAAAATGGATAAAAAAAGCAAATAAAAGAGAAAATTTTAAATCAAATATGCGTTGGTGTTGTCAATTTATAGCACCACATAGTTTAGAAAAACGAAAACTTTTTCTTTACTTTATCTGTTGTGCGATGAAAGATTTTATATAAGTTTATAACATATTACATATGTTTTAAATACACAGCGAACAGTTACATGCAGAATATACAGGTTTTCAGATCCAACTTTCCTTATTTTTTTTAAAAAAATATTATTTTATGTAAGTCATATAATATGTCCAGTTTTATACGCCGGAAAATAGTCACGCTTGACTTTTTCTTGTATGACTGTTTATTAAAATATTAATACAAAGCAACATGAAGGCTACTGGTGACAGACTTCTCAATTTGGAACCCTGAACGAGTGACGAGGTCGACACCTGTGCTGGTACTTTCTCTCCAAGCTACCATACTGTGAGCAACGGAAACACTTTGAGATAGGATAGATTTAACGTGTATCAGCCCTGATACCATATGTGTGCCTATTCAGAAGCACTAAAGCTCGAACTCTTGGGATGCCAGTCATGTGCCCGTCAATATAATAATAAAGCTATCCCGGCAATAATTTTTTATGATAATATATGATAAATCAATAACTCTTATTAATAAAAATAAGTGATTAAAGGAAAGATATATTACAACCTTTTATTTAACTTGCAATGTAAAATGTTCGGGTGGAATCTTGCAACTCAATTCTGAAGAGCTGATGTCTTCAAACGAGTGAGCTGAAATTTTGTATACACGTTTTGTTTGGATGACAATGCATGTTTGTTCTATTTATATTCCGATATCGCAAATAGTTAAAAAGATAATAACTAAAGTAATTTGTTCGGGTGGAAAAATTAGTAACTGAATTTTGAAGCTGATGTCTTCAACCGATTGAGCTGCAATTTTGTATACACGTTTAGTTTGGATGACAATACATGTTTTGGCGATTCATATGCCGATTTCGACCTAGTTTCTGTAAAGATCTTGTTCAGGTGCTAAGGCGAGCATGTTTACAATTACAAAGGTGTGGACCAGGGGCGTAGCTCAGATGGTAGAGCGCTCGCTTAGTATGCGGGAGGTACGAGGATCAATATCCCGCGCATCCAATAATTTTTACGTGTAAAATATTTTTGAAATTTGTTTGATCTGCACAACATGATATTTTACAATATTTCCACTCAGCATACGTACAAAGTATGCTATATTTTTGCAAGTTTATTTAACTTGCAATGTAAAATGTTCGGGTGGAAACTTTCAACTCAATTTTGAAGCTGATGTCTTCTACCGATTGAGCTGAAATTTTATGCACACTTTTAGTATGGATGACAATGTATGTTTTGACCATTTATATCCCAATTAGTTAAAAAGACTAGCTGCGTTACCCGGCATTGCACGGGCATTCTCTACTTTTTAAAATTTTTCCTTACCTACACAAAATCAGCACTTCTAATACTCTTTTCAAAATGACTTCCACCCCCTCCCCATCTTCCGCTTAGCCCTGCGTTGCTCGAGCTTTTACCGAGTGTTTAACTTAAAATTCCCTGTTTAGAGAAATTTTTTCGCTTCTTTCTCTGTCAGCTAAGTTTATACCCTCAGCCCAACCCCCGGCCTTGGACAAATTTTTTTAAATGCATAACATATTGTCATGGAAATTCCCCTTCCCCTCTTGCTATCCGGAGCTCTGGAGTAGGTGACCATTCACCGATTCTACAGCAGCTTGACACGTGCAGCCATATAGAAGCTCAAAAAGTAATAAATAATTGCACAAATGAAATTCATAAAAACATTCGACATTTAACTTTTTAAATCACTAACTTTGAAAGATCAAAGAATGAGTTTTTTTAAATTCATTTTTATATATAAACGCATCGATATTGATTCATTTTTGAAAAAATCATAAAATATGTAAAGTATCGTTATTTTGTAAAAAAAAAGAAAAGAAAAAAAACTGTATCGTGTGACGAAATAAATCAGCTTTCCTATTACAAAATTGCTGGCGAAGTTATTAAATTCGTGAATAAATTATGAGTATTTTTTTTAAAAAATTGTAAAAACTAAACAATGATGTTCTTTCGAACCCGGGGACAAAAATCCCTAATACAGCGCTCTACGCAATCCATTCACGAAATATTCCGAAAAACTAAAAAGAGACCGTTGAAATAAAAGGAAGAGATATTTAATTTTGCATTGCGTTATTTGTTAAAGTTTAAATGTTTTTTTCCGGGCTTCATTTTTAAGTTAATGCCTTTAAACTTCATATATCGATTACAAACATTGGTAAATTTTAAACAAAAATGTAATAAAAATAATGCAGAAATATTTCTCGCAAAAAGGAAAACAAATAAAAAACACATTGTTTTTTAAACCGTAATTTTTAAGCAATTTTTTCGATCTTCGTACAGATTACAAATAATATTGTTCTGCACACCGAAAAATGTTCCACGAAATTATTTTTAGATTTAAAGTAATAATTATGTACTTTAATAAACATTTGAGTATTTTTTGAAAAATTTAAAAAAAAACGTTTTTGACATTTTATTTTTTAAATGACACATTCTAAAAGAGAAAAGCATGCATTTTATTAGTGAAAAATATCATTCCATTAACGTGAAAGAAAAGGCAATCGGAACGATTTAGAAATCATTTTCATAAAAACGTATAGATTTTGACTGATTTTGGAAAAATCGTAAAAAATAGAGAATATCTTTATTTTGTAAAATAAATTACACCGTATTGAGGCGAAGTAAATGATCTTTCCAATTCTGTAATTATTTTTTGTCTGAGTCTCATAAAAAAAATTAGATCGCTTTTTAAAAGCAACTGGGATAAAAAAAAAATGTCAGAAAATTAGAGCTTTGCCGCCTGGCGGGAAAAAATGGCAATAATTATGTGTTTTAAGATGTTTAAGGTATCCGACTACCCTAAAACCATGATTTTTTTCAAAAATTTACAATTTTTTTTCTGACTTAATTTTATAGACCATTTTATTAGCTTAATAACAATACCAAGTATTTTATTTTCCCTCCACTAGAACAAAAACTACAAGTGTTTTAGTAAAAGCAAATGCCATAACTTTACACAAGATGTTAAACATTAAAATGCGTTTCACTCGAAATGTGTTTTTTTCGAAAAACTGAAACGGGGACAGTGATTGCTCAAAAAGTTTTGAAAATAATTAGCTGAAATTTTTTGCTAATGTTCTGCATAACAGTAGAAGTGTTTTGATCTTCAGATTTATCAATAACTATTTTATTTCAAAATTTGCAGTCCTTTATGTGATTATAGTCAATGTTTTTAAAGCAATTTCGTATGATCACTAAGATAAAGTGCTCTAGTTTTTGTAAAAATTAAAAAATCTCTTATCCTGAAGGTCACTTCAAACAAGAATAACAAAGTAACGCATCAAAATTGAAAAATTGAGAATATGTTCATAAAATCTTTGTACAGAACGGGCCCCGTTTATGTAATTTTTCGTACATTTTTTCAAGTTTTTTCCCATTTTAATAATAATATATCTTTTTCTTTTACCAATTTTAGAATTTTTTCCTTAAAATATACTAAATAAACATAAAAATTACAAAAAAATCTCCATATCTTCTTTTTTTTCAAAAAAAAAAGTTGTCGCAAGTAGTCGGATACCTTAAGAGGACACGGTACGATTGAAAAAAATCTTTGATTTTATGGTTTCTTACAGTTTTTACAGTTACAGATATGCAATACGTTAGACAGAATATTTGCTCAAAATATCACAAAAAGGATTCCATTTAATTTTTTTTAAAAAAATTAAAAATTTATGAGGTAATTTTAAAACAATACTCCCCTCGTGCAATAATTGACGAGCACGCAGGAAATTTGATTTACATATTTGTCAAGCCATGCAAAACAAATTTACACAGGTGTGCAAAAATTAAGGACGAGATGGTTTTTTCAATATAACTTTGTACAAAAGCTTTCCAAATCAACACATTTAATACCGTAAGATCCCCAATACGTAAGGATATGTGTAATGTAAGCAACACTTACTAAAAGAGAAATCAGAGGGATAAAAAGAAGATTGATTGAAAAAGTAGCATGGAGCGCAATGCGACTGAAGGCCGAAACATCCCTGTGATGGGTGTCCAGCAAGAAACATCCGGTCTTTGGTAGGGGATATGATCTCCCCTGACTGCTAGGCAGGTTTCACAGCGTCTGCCCATGCTGAGAATGAGGGTGTCAATGAGTTGTTGAGGCATTGCTGCCCATTCGTCTTGCAGCGCCAATCGAAGCTCCCGAATCGTTACTGGTGGTAAGGAACGAGCTGCCAAGCGTCTGCCTAGAAAATCCCATACATGCTTGATGGGATTGAGATCCGGAGATCGTGCCCATTCATACTCGTCCCCATTCATTGTCTCTACAATTCCGGTGTTCCCGGCACCACAGAGAACGCCTTCTCCGATGGGCAGGCGTTAAAGGTACACACCGTACAGAGTGTCGTGCAAACAGACCAGCACCGTGCAGTCTTCTGGCCACGGTAAAATGCGATATCGGACGTCCAGTCACCTGTGTCGTGTGTCTAGCGATTTCTCCCGCTGTCTGCCGCCTTTTTCTTCTGGCCTGTAAGACAATGAACCGGTCATCTGCGGGAGTGGTTCCTCGTGGACGACCACTACTGAATCCCCGGATAGCTGTTTCTGTAGTTTGAAATTGTCTCCAAAGTGGTGAAACGATGCTGTGAGTAATTCCGAACTCTGCACTTACACTTGTCAAACTGCGGCCTTCCTCCAACTTCCCAATGATTCGACCTCGGCTAAAAGCATCCAGATGTCGTCTAACAGATTGATTATTCGCCATTTCTCGCTGAGGCAGCAACTCGGTGTGATTTTAACTGCTATACGGTGTGCAATCTCTTTGCCAGAAATACTGATCTTACACCGACAACATGCTTTATACTACTCAGACACTCCCCCATTACGTCTACCTGCATATCTGCGCATGTGCTACCGTACATCACCTTACTTAATCTCCTGATTGGTCTTTCTGTCCGCTCTGCCTCTTCTTTCAGCTGATATGCTAATTTTTCGACTTCGTCCTTAATTTTTGCACACCAGTGTAGTATGGGTTTGGGGATCACATTATTCAAATTCCTAAAAAAAGTTTGTTTTATGAATTATTATGAACAAAAATCTAAAAGACGTATAAATTCTAAGTTCAAATATTTTTTTAAAAAAATAAGTATTGCTTTGATACAAAAATACATACCAACTTTTGATATATATATTAATAGCAATCTATAAAAAAAATTCAAAATATTTCATGCAATAGAAAAAAAAGCCTTAGCATTTTAAATGAAGGAAAACAAAATATTTTTTGTTGTGAGATAAATCAATTTAATGTTTTTATTTACTGTAAAATATATATATATATATATATATATATATATATATATATATATATATATATATATATATATATATATATATATAAGTGCAATAAAATTACTAAAAATTGCTGTATGTACTACATGCACATGATAAAAGTCTCATAAAGTTATTACATGAAAATTTATAATTTTATATGTTTAAAATTAAAATTTTCAGTACCTTACATTTTTAAAAAATCGCGATAAATAGCATACGAACACATTTTACAATGATTTTAAAATAATTCTACTTTACATCTTCATATTTTTTTTCATTTATGTTTAAAAAAACCAGGACTATATGTATCCCTTCTTTTTTTTTTGAATATTTTTCTTTTCGCAGATTGGCTAGTTTTACTTTTCGACGTGTTATGCGAAAAGCAAAATTACTTTGGCGATTTCTTTCTCTTTTTTACGTCTGCAATCACGTGTGGCAGCAATTTTTACTGCTTCTTCACCGAGATCCAAATTAGCTGCATTTTGTATTTCTTTTATGGCTTTCAAAGTACCAAAGTTATACAATGATACTGCCTCAGAAACAGCTATATTTACGCGTCGTGATTTCGCTGAAGTTTCTTTAGAGCACTTACTCCAAATCAAGCTATGCAAACTTTCTTTGCTGTTCTGAGACAGACATCTCTGACACATCCTTTCAAAAGACTATCAGAAGCTAATATTTGATATATTAGAACAATTTTTGTCAAATAA